CGATGTTAGATAAAAGGTAGAGAAAGGAAATAGAACTAAAAGTATTAGTGCCAGCATTTTAAAACAACAGTATACAAAACACATAAAAGTAAAGAAAACGCAATATATCTCCTAACTATATTATGAAGCCTTGCCCGTTTTCCTATAGTGCTCAGTAAAAATCGTTTTTCTCAGCGAAGAAACAAAATTTCGAAAAAAGCTCTTTGTTGTTTTGAAGCACAGCACCTAGCGGATCTAATGGCGTAAAAATATTGGCTCCAGCAGTTTCAGCGAAATCTGTGTTAGGTCTGCAGTTTTTGTCTCATGCTTTTGAGTCAAGCCGGTTTTGGGCTCCTCTGAAAAGTCTATTTAGGGTCTGGCGGTTTGAAAGTGATGTTTCCAGACTCAGTTTTTGATGCTGAATCCAAAAAGCTTGGGCTGAGCAACAGAAGTGTAAAACAAAAAAACTATGACCATTTTCCGACAACCTTCCAATTTTCGGGTTTTTTAGAACCGTCTAGGGTTTTTCAAATATCTCAGCGAAGGAAGAGTTCTGCGAGTCGAGGAAGTGATCTTCGTGATCAGCATGACTTAATCTATCTAATGACGTAAGAAAAAGCGGAAAAAGAATTTCACTGTAAATTTGCTCTGTGTGTATCTTACAAATAGTTCTTATCCTTTCTTCCCGATTTTTTGTTGTCTCTTCTCGATATATAGTTAAATGCATAAAGTGAAGATACGTCTATGTTTCACTGTGTGCAGCTTTTTTCACTTATTCTGAAGTACCAATATGGTACTATATTTTCTCTTTTTCTTTATTTCTTTTCTTGTATTTGCTCTAAGAGTTAGGGAACTTTTTTTTCCGTGTGGAACACACAGGTACAATGAGTCAGTGCATTCTGTATTTTTCTTGGGAAGTGTAATGGTAGTCTATGTTAATAAAGATTAAACTAGAATAAAACAATACGCAAGGCTCAATACAAATAGATTTATAACAGTATTTAGAATAAAAAGATACTACGTCGACAAAAACACTTTAAATTCATATAATCCTAAGAGCACAAAAGCGAAGGAGAAATAAAAAAAGAATTCCAGAGGTGGGATTTCAACCAACACACTGCCGCTTACAAGGTAAGGGATTTCCATAAAAATCAGTGTATCTCATCAGAAAAGCAGTTACCTGCCGTTGCAGGGAAGGAAGGAAGCTATTGTCACTTAAGCATACAACTAATAACCAAGTACTACCTTCCTGGAAAGCTACAAAAACTAGCTGTGCTGCACGTCACCACGTAGTAAGTGTGCTGTTGAACGGATGATTGGCGAATTAAGACGCAAGTAACTTGCCCAACTTTATTACACGACCTGTCAGCATCGAGATTCGAACAAGTATCTGAGAAACAACATAACCGTCAAGCCATGCCGACTCAGCTCTTGCGGCGGTTCTCGAGAGAATCAGTGTCTTGATCACGGGAGCAGATCCTGATCAAAAGAAACTAAGGGCACTCATGACCGAAAGAAAATACACATCAGAAAATCACTATTTTTCTCTTGAAAAAGCCAGTGCTACTGAATCACTCCGTATTCCTTTTACATTGCAGTAATCTGATCAGGATCCTGACAGATCATTTGATCGCTCCCTAGGGCTGTATAAGAATGACTGGTTAGGCAATGCTGCATGGTATCTTGTTTCCACTTTAAAGCATAGATATTTAATACGAGAGAAAATAGTAAGAAATCTTTTCTATTCAAACTTGTTAAAACGCCCTAAAATTACTTTTCAATCTGTATGAAGAAGCTGACTCACGACGAAGAACTGACTACGTACCACTAGTGGATGAAGTGAATGACCCGGTTTGTGGCTGATTACTTGTGGCTCTCGATGCACTTGGCGTTTCTGACGGAAATAATGAAGTGAACGATCGAACAGATGAAGTTGATTCTGTTATTATTTCTGCTGGTTTAGTTGGTTTCGGTTGTTTAGAAGCCTCAGACCTCGTGAGAGGAAAATGTTTCGTTCTTCCTGTTTCTTGGGACAAAGCTAAAACAGAGAAAGTGACTCTTGTTATACCTCTTGTTTGAAAGCCTTTACTTGTATTGGTTCCAATTTTCCGAGTTTGTGGATGTTCTTTTGTAAATGCTGTAGTTTTCTCAGAAGAAAATGAGGTTGGTTGGCGTTGCCTCGTTTCACCGGTTGTTGGCATAATTGTTGAAATAAGTACAGAGAATGAGGGTATCTGATTAGTGACAGTTGATGTGGGTTGTATCTGTAGTGTTGTTGAATTATTATTACTACTACTACCATTACCACCACTCGATGTTGTTAAACCGAAGAATATCTCAACTAAAAAGGAAAAATGCATTAGATAATAACTTATTAAATATTACCTTCCATTTTTTGAAAGCCAGAGTGGACATAAGGACACTGTTTCTACTGTTTAAAAATGGCGGAAAGTCCTGTGAAGAGGGAATAATTTTCTCTCAGACGAGCAGAAGAGAAAAGCCAATTACGTAGATTGAAGTCTTGAAGAAAGATGCATACGTTAAACTGAATATAAGAAGAATATGACGTATCATGAAGGTAAATTATTGATCAGAGAATCACCCACGTCTCTCATAGTTAACTTACATAGGCTCTCGTCAAATCGAATGACAATAAATATTTGAGTTGTTACTGTTCGTACTGTGTCACTTTGACAAATCAGCGTTAGGCAATCAATAGGAAAAATCAGGCGAAGTTCAACTATCATTTGGGCTAATGTTTCTGAATAATTAGCTGCTTCGGTAGCATAATAGTAACCAATAAAGTGTTCTGCTGCCTGTGATGGTACTTGGCGTTTTCTCTAAATATATGGATAGACTCAGTTATGACCCTTTCAATATTTCAACAAAATTTCATCTGCACTTTTTCAACTCATAACACAATGATTTGAGCAGTGTTTTACTGAAAAGTTAAAAGAAACATACGTACGTACTTTTGTCAGCCTCAGATGCAAGCTTATTTATATATATATATATATAAATATATATACTCTGAATCAATTCTACTTTAACTTAGCATAATATTTGAAATCGAGAAATTTAGAAAAAAGACTTCTTTATTCGTGTTTTTAAGAACTATTACTTTGGCGCCTCTTTTATCGTAGGTTGGCCACAAACGATGGCCATCGTTTCTCTCCCTTATTTTGGATTTATTTTGATGAGACAAGATCTTTCCACGCCCGAAAAGAGACTGATTCAGCGCCTTAGCACTTGGAATTTGTTCTAGTTAATTTGAGTCTAGAATGAAAAAGATGCGTGGTGCTTGGTGACAGAATTTGAGTGTTGAATAGCTGGGTTGCGAATGATCCTCTTTGTCCTCTTTCTTTTTTATGATTTTGTTACAAAAATGCCTGAGTTTTAGCAGTTTTAGATTTGAATATAGTTTTAGATATATTTGAGTCGTTTTTTAAGGTGAACAATTTCAGTATAGAAGATAAGATAAATCACCTTTATAATCATGAAAATAGTCTATTTTCTATTAGAGACGTCTCGTCTTCATTCAAGGGACATCAGCAGTCAAGTGTAACAGACGATAGTTGATTCAAAACAAAACGATAAGATGAAATACATATGTAGAACGCAAAATAAGTAAAATATAACTTTTCCTTTTTCACAATATATGATGACTGAATGCGTTCTACATAGGTATGCACCAGTTAAAAACTGGTGTTAGGGCTTCCATGGAAATTATTATAAATCGGCTATAAAGAATTACTCCAAGTCACGGAATCTGGCATTTTATATAGAGATGTCTGAACTACAATTCCATATAAGTATAAAAAGTTCAACGTTATCTGTGATACAAACATGAGTATTCTAAAATGCACTAAAGTTAGAAAAAAACCCTGTTCGAACAGTTGTTTTTCTGTATTTAGTGCATTTTAGAATGCTCACACTTTTACTAGAAATTACTTCAACTTTTTTTCCACAGTTGAGTTTTCAAGAGCAAACATTTTTCTACAAAATGAGAGGTTCCGTGACTCTGAGTAACTCGTTATAGATGATTTTTATTTCTCGTTATAGACAATTTTCCTGGAAGCCTTAACACCAGTTTTTGACTGGTGAAGGCCTAGTTCTACATATATGTATTTCATTTTATGTTTTATTTTGAATTATAAAGATAATTTATCTCTTATTTTTTAGATATATCCTTTATATCTATGCTGGTACATGGAAAGAAACTTAGCCAAGCATGGTTGGATAAAACGGATCCTAGGGGCATTTCTGTGAGACAATGGCTGAAACAAGATATTTACCTCTGGAAAAAAATTCAGGACATCCTCTTCTGTCCTCTTTTTTTTTAAAATGAGCGTTCACAAGCCAGGTTGAATAGAGTCAAGAATTTTTCCGTTTTTTCAATAGTGCTGCGACAAATAGTAATGCTATTTTCGTTTTTCATTTGTTTCTTATTCCGTTATATATCGCTGTGAAGAAAAGAATACACGCTTACCTTCAAGGAGAAAAGGAAAAAACAGCAATGAACACAACAGAGTGATGTCTATATAGATGACCTTCAGAGATGGGCGAGTACGAGTACATCAGAACATGCAGCATATCAATATGGACATTCTCCGTGTTTATACTCAATTAAACATGCTTACTGTGCAAGGCCTTAAAATATAAATGCCACGAGTGAGGCATGGACGTAAAGGATCATGTCTTTTTTTTTCAGACTTTTTCTACTGTGCAGTCTTGTACACCTGCTGGACGGTTTATCAACTATTCTTCTGAGTAATTCTAGATTACGACAGAAATGTTGCTGCTTAGAAGCAATTTAAGAAAGAACATTTCAGCTCTAATTTGCCATGAGAAGAAAACGAAAAAAATTTTGTTCAATCTTACAGTGGGTGTACGATTGATCGTTTAATTCAAATTTAGGACAAAAACAAGATCGCGTTAATTCAGAATCAAACAAAAGTATGCATTTCAGTTGGAAAAAACACCTTGCCCAGAAAAAATGCTCCCTTGGCTAACCCGATCTTCTTATAAGACGATCGCTCTTCCTCATCGTCTGGAAATTCGTTGACGATTTTCTAGATTTTAGAAATCAATCCGACTTTTCGAATTTCAAAAAATCTATATATAAAATCGCCGGGAAATTTCTAGATTCCAGAAAATCGAATTTCCAACAATCTGGAAATTCGATTAGAAGATTGTTGTAAACTCGATCTAGAAAGTCCTCGGACGATTTTATATATGGACTTTTTGAAATTTGCCAGGGATTTTCTATAAATAATTTCCTACCTTACAGTGTTAAACTGGTAATTGATGTGCCTGAGTGGTTCACTGATGAACGTGTTCGTCTGGTAAGCCGACCGAGTTCAATTCTCGGCAAAAACGAAAAATTTGTTTAATGCGTCTTCTTCAGAAGACACATCAGCATGAGAAAATTTGGTGCTTGCTCCGCGCTGAACCAAACTGGATAAAAAATGGGGGCCAAATGCAAAATTGGTCGGTGAATCCGACAGCGGGTTCCTTATAATTACATCTTCACTTCTTTTTTGGCGTCGACATAATCAACGTGGTTTTTGCCGAAATTTTATTTTTCTCATTGGCGCCTTTTTTTCAACCA